ATTAAAGTTTTCACTATCATTTTTCATAATTAAAGTTTTCACTGTCATTCTCCATAATTCAAACTTTCACTATCATTCTCCATAATTCAAACTTTCACTATCATTCTCCATAATTCAAACTTTCACTATCATTCTCCAAAAATTCAAACTTTCACTTTTCTTTCTCCATAATTCAAACTTTCACTATCATTCTCCATAATTCAAACTTTCACTATCATTCTCCATAATTCAAACTTTCACTATCATTCTCCATAATTCAAACTTTCACTATCATTCTCCATAATTCAAACTTTCACAAATCATTCTCCAAAATTCAAACTTTCACTATCATTCTCCAAAATTCAGACTTTCACTATCATTCTCCATAATTCAAACTTTCACTATCATTCTCCATAATTCAAACTTTCACTATCATTCTCCATAATTCAAACTTTCACTATCATTCTCCATAATTCAAACTTTCACTATCATTCTCCATAATTCAAACTTTCACTATCATTCTCCAAATTCAAACTTTCACTATCATTCTCCATAATTCAAACTTTCACTATCATTCTCCATAATTCAAACTTTCACTATCATTCTCCATAATTCAAACTTTCACTATCATTCTCCATAATTCAAACTTTCACTATAATTCTCTATAATTAAAGCCTGAAGCTCAAAAAGTTGTATCTCATGTTTCTGTTTATTTTCGTCTTTCTTGTTTATTTATTTATGTATTTCTTAAGCCGTGATCATGGCTCCTCTGTTTTTGTTTTAATATCCCGTCTTCCAGCATATCATAATTTGTGTTTGTCAGCTGTGGTATCAGCCTTGACGCAAACTTTTATGCCTTCATATTTTATAGCGTGTTTTATTAGGTGTGTGCTCCATGCTGGTGACATGCGCTCGAGGACACATTACTTAGATACCTACACTATTATACTGCGGTCGTGGTACATACCTTTGAAGCTGTTCCGTTGATATTAATTCCTGGTGATATGTTGGGCGTAATGTTAACTTCTAGAACTTCCTGGTGATAAGTTAAGCATAATGTTAACTTCTAGAACTTCCTGGTGATAAGTTAAGCATAATGTTAACTTCTAGAACTTCCTGGTGATAAGTTAAGCATAATGTTAACTTCTAGAACTTCCTGGTGATAAGTTAGGCGTAATGTTAACTTCTAGAACTTCATTGGTTCCTGCTCTTGTTTATTTTTGTGAATATTTTACCAGCGTGCTACGTACTCACCGCTCTCCTTGCTCCCTCTTCCGTGTCTTTTGCTTAGAGTTCGATGTGCTTGAATTCCAGCAGCCACTTTCTCGGCGTGTTCTTGGCGCTAGACCAGGTCACCTTGCAATATTAAGGAGTTAGAATCGAATATTTTTAAATATCAGGGTAATTTTAGGGGTGATTTGAGAGGTCATTCCAAGGGTTATTCCAAGGGTCATTCCAGGAGTCATTTCAGGGGTCATTCCAGGGGTCAATGCAAGGGTCATTCCAGGAGTCATTCCAAGGGTTATTCCAGGGGTCATTGCAATGGTCATTCCAGAGGTCATTCCAGAGGTCATTCCAGAGGTCATTCCAGAGGTCATTCCAGGGGTCATTCCAGAGGTCATTCCAGAGGTCATTCCAGAGGTCATTCCAGGGGTCATTCCAGAGGTCATTCCAGAGGTCATTCCAGGGGTCAATGCAAGGGTCATTCCAGGAGTCATTCCAAGGGTTATTCCAGGGGTCATTGCAATGGTCATTCCAGAGGTCATTCCAGAGGTCATTCCAGAGGTCATTCCAGAGGTCATTCCAGGGGTCATTCCAGAGGTCATTCCAGAGGTCATTCCAGAGGTCATTCCAGGGGTCATTCCAGAGGTCATTCCAGAGGTCATTCCAGGGGTCATTTGCAAACACTGACAGGTATAAATCAAGGCCCAACGATGATTTATGTAAATGGGTAAAAGGACACAAGTGCAACATTTTATTGTGGCAACGTTTCGCTCTCCATGAGTTTTGTCAAGCCATTACAAACAATACATGGACACAAGCTCCTGGAGAGCGAAACGTTGCAGCAATAAAATGTCATATTAGATGCATTTGTATCTTTTACCTAACATATTGTGGATGACTTTACCAACATTATTACTATATGTATGTGCTTTATTAAGTCACAGACGACAAGGGATCAAGAATTAGACACATGTGCAACATCTGGGCATCTTTATTTGTAGACGTTTCGCCATCCAGTGGCTTTATCATTACAAGGACATAATGGGTAGCCTGTAAAACTATATACAAAAGATGAGGTAATCAGTCCCTCAGTCTTGAAGTTGGTGACAAGCACCGTAGTCTTGAGGACTCTGAAGCACAGGCATGAAGACTGCATCATAAGTAAGACACCTGTGCAACATTTAGGGATCTTTATTCCGAAACGTTTCGCCTACACAGTAGGCTTCTTCAGTCGAGTACAGAGGAGTCAGCAGTAGGCATGTAATGACGATGTAATCAATCCATCACCCTTGAAGACGTAGTTTGGAGGTAATCAGTCCCTCAGCCTGAGGCTGAGGGACCGATTACCTCTAAATTAGGTAATTACCCGATTACCTCCAAATCAGGTGATACGAGTCAACAATTTCTGAAAAGTTGTATGCTTCTTAGATAGGATTAGTTAATTCTTACGTATTTTCATATCCTGAATCCAAGTATCACATTAAAAAATGCTTATTGGCTATAGGTTTAAAGATACAAGACATATAATATTTGATTATTTTATTATAACGTACAATATGTGTCAGTATGTTTTAAACTCTAATCCGTACCTGCTCTCTGCCTTTTTGCTTGACGCTTATAGTGGGCTGAAGAATCGTCTCTTGCCAATGTCCAGCAATAGTCTGCAAGCATTTTTGTGCCCCATTTGCCCTGGTAACATTTTTCCATGGTTGAAATATCTTGGTGTAACCTTTCACCATGTTCGTCACTAACTGCCTCACAGTTCACTGGAAAAAAAGTCTAAATGTGAGTCCAAAAAGTGGATTTTAAGTGACATGTTACATCTCATGTTCTTGTAAGCCTTCATGAGGATTCCAACAATTCTTCATAGTTGCCTTCCCTTCTGTTTCCGAGAAATCCCTTCGCCACTAACTTGAATGCTTCCCAAGCAGTTTTCTCCTCCCTATGAAGGTCTGATTCAAACTCACCATCTTTAAGAAGCTCTCGAATCTGAGGACCATTGAAGACTTTCTCTCTTATCTTAACGTCGCTGAGTGAGGGGAATTTTAATGTTAAATATTTGAATCCCTGACCTGATTTGTCCATAGCTTCACAAAGTTTTTTTATGAGCCCCAGTTTTATGTGTAGTAGTGGTAGCAAAATATTGTTTGGTTCACTGGATGCTGAACATTTTTCATCCCAGGCATAACAGATAAGCAGAAGTATTTATATCATTCAGTAGGAAAATAAAATTAATATAATATGCCTCACATGCATATCAGTGAATATTTATTATAAGTTTAAAAAGTGTTTGGCTAAGATAATCATCGACCTTTCACCTCAAAATATAAACTTGCACAACACAACCATCTTCTATGACTGCTGGAACAATAATGACGGTCAGTCAGACTGTGAGTGTGGTAAGAAACACACTGCCACAAACCTGTTGGAACCTGTTGTGACACGTAGGTCTATATTGAAAAGTAGAGGTAACAAACAATTTTAACCATGGTATGAATTATCAATGACCTAAAATTAGTTGGAAATTGTTAGTCTGGTCTCGGAAGCATTTTGGTTGTTAACCAGTGAATCAGTCCCTTAGCCTGAGGCTGAGGGACTGATTACCTCATCTTTTGTACATAGTTCTACATTTTTCACATTGTATTGCATTGATAAAGCCACTGGATGGCGATACGTCTACAAATAAAGACACCCAGATGTTGAACATATGTCTAATTCTTCATCTTGTTGGTACTGTACACCATTCGTGTTCAACAAGGGATCACATTGAACTGCATTCGTCTCTTTTTCCATCTTGTCTATATTTTATACTATTTCACTCCTTCAAGGGGAAAGCTTGGTGCTGGTGACGGCTCTCTATCCTTCGTATTAAATCGAATGCCTCCCATTTACCAGGCACCATATGACCCCTATGGGCTTGGTTCTTGCCCATGGATATGTTAGGCCTACTGAGGAGGACTTGTTTAGTTTGGGTCAGTAGGCCAGCAGCAGTGCTTCTTCCTTCTTAAGTGGGTGTGACTTGGACTTGCCTAGCATGGACCAGTAGAAATGGTATGGTGACACCGACAAGATGTGGAAAAATATACTTGCTTCTTAGTTATCTCTGTATTAGGACTGAAGAAGTCACTCGTGGCGAAACGTTTCCTAATAAATGTCCTAAACTGTACAAAAGTCTCTTTTTTCCACATGGGCCAGTAGGCCTGCCTCAGTGCTCCTTCCTTCTTATGTGCAAGGAACCACGCAGGTCCCAGGAGAGACCCATGGGGAACACATAACACTGTTTACAGTCGGTCATTTGGATCCTTCTCTTCTCACGAGCGCTACTTTCGCCGTAAAGTTTCCCCTACGTAGCAGGCTTCGTTATTGGAATGCAAAGGGTTAGATTAGGTAAGGTTTGTCAGGAAACAGAACAAGTGTTTCCTGATGATCTACAGTTCGAGATTTTGGTCATCTGACCGAGGCCTTACGCTGGCTTACCGGCCCACCCCTTTAAAAATTATGGATATGATTATAATTACTGGGTTATCGTTATTCAAAGGGAGACCTTGTACCGGAAACAGTGCAAGAAGTGAAGAAGAAATTCTAGTGTTGAGCCCCTTAGCCCTGACTGCAGTGTTCAGCCCCTCAGCCTTAGCAAAAGGTGTTCATCTTCTCAGCTTTGATAACGGTGAGGAAATGGTATGGTGATACCGACAAGATGTGGAAAAAGACACTTATGTACAGTTCAGGACATTTATTAAAGGAAACGTTTCGCCACGAGTGGCTTCTTCAGTCCTAATACAGAGAAAACTAAGAAAACACACATATATATAGTGGCGGGAGTCAGGTGAGGTGATGCGTGGGTAGAGGTGGTAGTAGTAGTAGTGGTGTTCGTTGTACCACCAACAGTCAACTGGTGGCATCACTCTCCTCACTACCCTCGCCAGCTGTTGTCAACAGTGCTGGAGACACTATCGTTGACTTGCGCCCCAATTATCGTGTTAAAATTAAATTGTCCTTCATTCAAATTAAAATTTGGAGCTGACACAATAAGGTTTGACTCACCAATACAGTTCTTTATATAATTACCGGATCTAAATATAGGCTTGCAATTATCAACTTCAACGTTCTGGTCACACTTAGGTGCATTAGAGACCGTCACTGCTTTCACTGCTGGCGACGTATCAGGAAGGAGAGGTAGGGGATGTCCTAGGAATGGTTGGAGAGGGCGGGTTCAGGAGGGCTTTGAGTGCTAGGGGCTTGAGGATCAAGCAAGCTTGTGTGAAAGGGTTACATCCCACTGAGTAAAAACTAATGGTTTTTATGGCTTGCCGTGGGGCTGGAGTGTAAGCAATTCCAGGACTAGAGTCCTGGAATTGGGAAGTACATTGCCTGCACTTCGAAGGAGGGGTGGGGATGTTGCAGTTCACAGGCTCACTGGAACTGTGACTTGTGTGTATGTGTATGTGTGTGTTTGTGTGTATGTGTGTGTGTGTGTGTGTGTGTGTGTGTGTGTGTGTGTGTGTGTGTGTGTGTGTGTGTGTGTGTGTGTGTGTGTGTGTGTGTGTGTGTGTGTGTGTGTGTGTGTGTAAAATGTATTTTAAGATAACTATCTCGGTACAACAATACAGAGAGTCTTGGCCAGCATGTTGGCGTAATGTTCAATATAAGTTCCGTAGTGACTGTCAACAAACTTCAACGATTTCCTGGTTGAAGTTGGCGGTGAACCAGTCAATCTCTCTCGTAGGGAAAAGGTGACTAGCAGTTTACTGGAATAGCTGGAGAGTCTGATAGTGTCAATGACCTGCGTTACCCTGTGTGTGTGCTCTCACACGCACACACACACACACACACACACACACACACACACACACACACACACACACACACACACACACACACACACACACACACACACACACACACACACACACATCAAATGAGAGTTTAAATTGATTATTGCCTGCCACATTAATTTACCAATATCGAGACGGCGCGAAGCACTTAACACTAATTCATTACGTAATTCGAACATAAGCGTGTTAGAAAGTGTCAGAAAATGAGTGTTAGAAAGTGTGTTCGAAAGTGAGTGCGTTGAAGTGCTTTACAAAGTGATTGTATTAGAAAGTATGTTAGAAAGAGGGAATGTTAGGAAGTGAGTCTGTGTTTGAGAAAGTTGCGAAGTGGGTGTGCTAGAGAGTAACAAAGTGGGCGAGTTAGCTAACAGCCAAGTTGGGAGGTAAAAATCTAACCTATAGAATTAACGATAAATATTATAATTACCCATCACCACAAATATTATAGTTACCTGCCACCACAAATATTATAATTACCCATCAAAACAAATGTTATAGTTACCCATCACCATAAATATTATAGTTACCCATCACCACACATATTATAGTTACCCATCACCACAAATATTATAGTTACCCATCACCACAAACATTATACTTACCCATCACCACAAACAGTATAGTTACCCATCACCACAAATATAATAGTTACCCATCACCACAAATATTATAGTTACCTATCACCACAAATAATATAGTTACCCATAACCACACATTATAGTTACCCATCACAACAAATATTATAGTTACAAATCACCACACATATTATAGTTACCCATCACCACAAATGCTATAGTTACCTATCACAACAAACATTATAGT